CGGATGTTACCAAAATCGCAGGTTTTAGCTTCCGCTCTATCCGGATGGTGGTTATATCTAAAGAACTTAAGTGAGAGCAGAGAAAAGCATTAAGGTGCGTTTTTGCTAAAATGCACGATCTAGGCTTACCCTGTCCTTTGTCATAAAAAAGATTATACCCATTGATGTTGAGCCCTTTGACACATGAGCTATGAACCCAGGGCTCTTGGATGATGGCAAGGTCGATGTCCTCCTCCCTGAGTAAGACAGCCAGATTATCCGTGGCACATTTAGAGTGTTTCAGGTTTATCTGCACGACCTTGGCCATTAATACATCAACAAGGTTTGCTATCGATGATGAGGTCATCTAGCAGCTTACTAGTGCCCTCAACCTCATCCAGAATATTATCCGGTGGCGCGTTTTTAAAGATTTTGATTTTTGCCTTCCGGATGCCGTAACGCAGCTTGCAGTCATTAGCCTCAATGACTGGCAAGCATTCTTCGTTGATAAGAAGTAAGTACGATTGGCTGTGTTTTTGCGGTTCTTCGGTCTTGAGAACCGACCAGTCTTCCATCAGGATTTCTGGATTTTGTAGCTTTAGCTGCTGCAGAATAAGGTCAGGAGGACCAAGGTTTTTGGGTAACCATACGCGCGCTCGAGGCCTCGATGGAATTTCCGCCGCAGGGACAAGTTTGAGCTTTAAACCGTCCCAGTTCTCACTAATCTTAGTGATCGCCTTGCTGAGAAAACTCCGCGAATACTCGTCGTCGCATCTGATCACTCGGTGACCACGGACGATATCTGCGCAGTCAAAAGAAGGAACGGACCCCGGATTAGTCATGAGCTCAGCCATAACCAATTCGGACAGTTTGGTCTCAATCAGCGCCCACCTCTCCATCAGCAGCTTGCCGTTAGAGCTGTGTTCGTCGATCAAGGCCACACTGAGATGGTCTCTCGCCACTTCACTGAAGGGACGAGAAGCTTGTGCCGGTCTTGACATTAGCTTTCCATCCCCCGTTCCATCTTTGTGCCGCTTCGCCTCCTTGCCGGGATCTTCCTGAGATCTGTTACGCTTGCCGCCATCTCCGACGTTCTTGCCGGTGATAACAGACTGGCGCAGACCTTCATCATGAAGATACTCCTCCACAATGGCGCGGTATTTAACAGCGTCGGCTTCGTCTCGTTCATGGACCTTGCCTTCTTTTTTATTGCCCTCAATTTTCTTTAGCATAAAAAGCGCTCGCTGGTAACGATTTTTGCGTGCCATGTTGGCCGTTTTTTTCCGAGATTTTGTATTGCCCTTACTGCTTAGACTGGCAGTTTTAAGCGTTGGCGTGCGGTTTGCACTCGGTCTACTTTGACTGGTAGACGGAGTGCCGTCGATTTTTTTGGTTGTTGGTTGGATTGGATTAGACGCCGGTGTACTGTGACTGGTACAACCGGTATTGGAATCGGCAACGATCTCGTCGTCCGATTTCAACAATTCATCCTCCGTAAGTTTGGTGGGTTTATACTCTCCAGCCACGAGTTCCGAGACATTGTCGGGAGAAATCATAACATATTCATAATCGTCCACCTTACCCGGTAAGACAGGCGCGGCGGACCCGAGGATATTTGGACGAAAGAAGCGACCACCACAGCAGCGTCCCATACCATGGCTAGACCACAGTTACTCCCCAAGGCGGTCATATATTGGAGAGGCTCCGCAAAAATACAGTCGGACAGACCCCTTGACTGCAAACCTACTCGGTGAGCACGGATCGCGTAACACTCCCGAGTTAAGGGGACCTTCAAACCATGATCAGAAAGCATTGAGTGGTGTGCAGCTATTAAAGAGCTAAGGACAATCACTCAATTCCTCCTGATCTTAGCTGGGCACCGTCCTGACAACGTACAGGACGAAAAAACTGTGTGACCCATTACCAGACGGCACCCTCGTGGAGGGTTCAGTAGAAGGATTTTTCTGCTTAATATTGAGAGAAATATAAATGGCTTTGGTATTAAATGAATGAACCCATAATGCTTACATAAAATTTCGAAATGTATTTCGCCGCTTATTTATAGATATATTTTATTTTAAAAATAAAAATTGATATATATTTAATAGATTGTTAAGTTTAATCTATGCTTTCTTTGCATATTAGTTTTGTTATGGTCTTTTAATAAAGAATAATATGTTATATATAAAAATAATTCTTTGTATTCTAAGTGGTTTTATAAGGACATATTCATCAAAAAACTGAAGCTTTTATAGTTCACTAAGCTTATTATTTATTAATTATTGATTTACTCATTAATACATCATTATTTTATAAACACGATTATAAAACAAAATTATATTCATATTTTTTATATTCTTTTCAGAATTTTCGCTGCGAAACTTTACTTTTTTGCTTAATTCATACTCCACTATTCTGCTTTTCTCAAGTGTGTTTTTTAAGTGGCAAATATAACCAGAAGACACCATTGACGTTAGCATAATCAGTATAGCGAAACTCAGATATTTAATCAAAAACCGCATTTAATATTGTAAGAAGATCACGAAGAAGAGAAAGAAACTAGAGAAAAGTGGTCGTTTAATATTAAATATGTTAAGCGAAATTCTTCAATGAATTGACGGAAATGAATGAGATTTCAAATTTGTATATCATGTCTTAAAGAAAAATAAAAATACGGAATGATTACAAAACAGAAATTAAAATTTGCAGAATTCGCTCTAAAGAAGCCCCGTACAGCTGTAAACGAAGAAATAAATTAATCGTAGCAAATAAGTAAAAAATAAATTGTAGTGTTCTTAAAGTTCTTAAAGCAGTTACAAAGTTAAATTAAAAGACTTAGCACCAATATAGTAAAAAACAATATTGTCTTTGGCAATCATAAATTTTGACTGAAATCATAATACTCTCGAAATATATAACGATTTATCTACTATTAGCTGTGCTAGACGACTTCACTAATTTTGGTTGCTCATACCGAAATTCAGACATTTTGTTGATTATCGTATAAATGTACAGGAATAACAGTTGTCGTAGCAGTCCTCAGACATCGCTAGCAACGACGGCCGCTGAAGTTGGATCAGTGACGACACCACATGACCTACCATATAGCAGCATAAAACACTCTACTATTAAATATACAGATGTGGACGCAATAAGCTGTTCTTCTGAGTTTAGTAGTGAATCTGAGGAAGCACCAACTTCGCGACCTTCAAACACAAGTATATCTACGACATCAGCAAATACAGCCACTACTCTTACCTTCTCAGTAGCGCAACGCGTTTTTGCACGGAAAGAGCGTTCTCAATGTGGCGTTAATTCCGATGTTCGCCTTTTGAATAAAATCGGCTTCATTGCTTCTCGCGTTCGATTTCTCTCTAAAATATATGGTGACTTCAGGTTAATAAATCCATACAGTCCAGCTAAACAGCGCAAGCAAATACGAGAAATACAACTAAAACACTCTATTATAGATACGTTTAAGGAAATAAGTTCTACAGAAAAGTTAGATACACAACAAAGCTTAACGCCACTAAGTTCAGCTGCAAGTAGTTACTGTTATTTACCCACCGAAAGTTCTTACGAGGACGACACTATTATAACAGCAAGTAAATTACCGTGCCAGCCGTCTACGACTGCAAAATCTATATTGTTACTTGAGGATTTACTCATACAGTTTTATGAAGATCGTAAAAGTAAGATTACCGTAATAGGAAATCGCCATAGTCGACGTAACAGTAGCGTTGCAGTTGATGCAAATATAAACAGCAATCGAAATCATTTAATCATTATGAGCAGCAAAACTGCAAGCAGTAGTGTAGAGCCTCTTGTATCACTGGGCAATGACAACGAAGATGATGATAGCGGTAATACTTACGGAGGAACCGATTTGACTGAAAACATTAAATTCCAAACCAAAAACTCAATTGTCATAAAAGCTAATACCACACTCCCTAGTCAACAACAACAGCAAAGATACAATACATTTTTACAGCCCAGTAGTGGCGTTGAAGACAATCTACGTCGACGACGTGCAAGTGACTGTTCCACACATCCTGGTCAAGCGTTGAGCACTCAATTGCAGATATCGCTCAAAAACAATAATTGCACCAAATTTCCATTTCATCGTGGCAGCTGCGGCGCTGCAGGTGAACATTTGCTAGCGGCAAATTCAATTGCGAATCGCTCGACAATCATACTCAGTAAATCTTGCAGCAATGTCGATGGCACCAACAAGGACGGTTTAAATTCGGCATTTTACAAAAGCAGCGATTTCCAACATAAGGGTTTCGACGTAATTGAGAGTAGCAGTGTTGGTGGCGGTGGCGCTGGCGGTGGCGGTGGCGGTGGTACGCCTTCTGGCACCGGCACAGCTGCTACTGGTTCAGGCATTACAGCAAATAATGGCAACAATGAATACAGCATTATACAACTAAACAATACAATAATACGCTGTCACTTTAACGACGATGATTTTCGAGCGTTGGTGAAAGATTTGAAACGCAAAGTAGAATATACTGAACGCATGAACTGGCTATGTGAGTAAAAAATTCATTACGATATCATTCATTTATATTTTAATTAACAAAATAATTAAATTTTTAATTAAAAAAGTTTAGTGAATTTTTATTTACAAGTTCTAGTTCTAAACACTTAAGAATTCAATATTGATGTTAATAAATATATACTCCAATACATCAAATTTCAATTTAAAGCACAGTAGATTCTGATGTCTATTATTTTGTGGAAAACACAGTTATTTATATGTACTTAAAGGCAGGTTCAACTGAAACATTACTTACAAAGGTAACTCTGAAGAATGTAAAAGTGAAGAATGTATAAGCATTAATAAATTTTTAAATAAAAAAGTTTTATTTATTTTATTATACGAATACAAATACGCAAAAAGCGTACAAAGTTATTGATTTCAAATAAATTTATTTTCTCTTCACGGTTTTCATGATATTTTACTACTTTATTCTGTTTATTGCAAATTCATGAAAGAAACTTTTTTAAGTTTCGTTATAAAATTGAACAGTAAAAACTATATAATATTTCTTACAATCATAAAAACGTATTTGATTCCTTATTTATATCAAATGTGAAAAATAAATATTTAAAATATCTTACCTTGAGATATAAGCTGAAGTCCAAAGTAAAGTAGTCAGAGTGAATTTTTCCTATAACATTCGAAAAATACTCCTTGATTGATGATTGATAGCAAAGTTGCGTAGGCTTTGGCAAATATTGAAACTAAAACAAGCTGTATCATTTGTAAAAAAAGAACTAGTAAATTGAACGAAGAACCATTAATCCAAAGCACCCCGCGTGGCTTGGAATTCGGAATTTCTCTTTTCCATGCAAAAATTCAATTATGATGGAAATCGCTAAAATAGGTTACGATGCCAAATTTGGGTATCAAGTTCATTAGGAGCCGATTTGCAAAACAAGGGAAAGCAAGCACAACATAGGAACACTTACTCAAGAAGAATTTCATAGCATTGAGCTAATCATAGATCAATTTTAACGAGTAAATAGTAACTCCAAAAAAGGTCTTGATAAATAATAATAATAATTAAAATAAAAATTTAAAGAAATTTTGCTTATTCAGATAATGTAACAAACGTTTAAAATGCAATTAAAATATTTACTAATGTACTATATGGTACGTATACTGAGGTTTTGTGTACTCTTTTAGTAGATATTTTAGTAGATACATATTTTTTATGTCGTGTGATATCTATATTTATATAAGTTGTCTGCGGTAAATGTATACTAACCCCCCTATTCTCTGAACTTGATAAATTTATAAAGCATTGACAAATAATCAAGATTTATATCAAGCAAAAGGCTTTTTACTATTCTGTGCAAATATTCAAAATAGGTTTCTATTGTACATTTTAACACTTTCCTTGAACTTTGTTTTTGGATTTCCAAACATGTAACAGGTGGACTACAATAATTGGCGAAGCGATTAATAATACAATCCGTACAAATTTTTCATTAGTAGAATCGACTTGTAAAATAGTTGAAATAATGTTTTCGACGCGATTGTCTTGTCTTTAAACTTTGAGCTCCGACAGTACATAGATAATTCTATTTTCAAAAGGTGTTTCAATGAATTTGGAAATCTGTGTAATAGATGTCAAATAAATCTTCACCGTCGTCGGATATGAAACAGAGCGTCTGCATCGTAATTATTAAACTAGTTTCCAACGAATAATTTCAAAATAACCCGTTTAATTTACAATAAAAACCACTTTCTCATCCTTTTTTTTAAATCCAGGAAGATCAAAAACTTATTGAAATTGTTCGTACAAGCATTGTACAAGGCCAATGCTACAATGCTATAGAGATATTTAAGAAATAATAAAACGAAATGTCGAAACATAAATTGCTCTTCGACCGCAATTTATTTCAACCAGACTTAATGCTGTTTTTTTACAACTCTGAAAGAAAAAATTGCGGCTGTTTTCAAATATTTGAATCAAATAAGAGTTAATGATTCGGAATGTAGAAATACTTACAGCCTGCACAACTTATTCAAAACTATTTACAATTGTCTTTCTGTTGACTTTGAATACATTACTCGAATACATTACTACATTTGACTACAATATTATTTTGTAAAGTCTTTTTCTAATGCTTTGACCAAACGATTATCTGATTTTTGCTTCATTTCAACACCAAATTTGAACTCCGTTCAAATTATACTTCGAATATTTCCTTGTTGTATGCTATTTAGAACTTTTTGTAATGCTGGAACATGTGTATACCATCTTGATGGATGAACTTATGACATTTTTGTTAACACTGGTAAAATGATACAATTAATTCATTCGATATGACCGTTTGCCCGTTATTGTAAATACATGTTTAATTTTTTCGGCTTCACAATATTTTTTAAGTTCACCTGAGGTGAATGCCGTAAGTTTATTTAATGCTATTTGACGTGGATTCCCAAACGTTGGTTGTTGTGGTTTTAATTTATTTAACACCTCATTTACATTTGTTGTTTTCGTTGCATAAATCTATTTAAATTTTTTAAAAGCATCAATTACGACAAGCAAATATTTTTACATCTTAACTGTAGAATCCAATTGATCCACATGATCACTATGATATGTATTGAATGGTAACTCTCCCTTGTCAATTGGGTGTAATAATCCTTCTGGTTTACCATGTTTCTTTTCTGCCAGTATACATCTTATACAATTTCTGATAACCCTTTCAATTTTATTTTTTCTATATAAAACTGTGATTTTATTATTTCTTTAACTTTCTTTACGCCAAAATGATCATTATCATGAATGCTTTTAATAATTTCATTTTTTATTGATTTTGGTACCACCAGTAAATCAATTCCATTGTTCTATTTAAACAAAATTTTAGTTCAAAGAAAATATTCATCATAGTTTTCTTGTTGATTAATAATTGTTGAAATTATTCTTATATCTTCATCTTCTTCTTGCAATTTCTTTACTTTCATTACTAGATTATCTTTTGTTGATATGATTGATAGTATCGCGTTACGACTTAAAACATAAACTGCTGATTCG